TTGGTCAACGACCCAGAGGGAGCACTAGGTTCTCCCGCCTGCTCACCTCTCATTGGCCAGGGGCCCAGCAGCTCCGACCCTTCGCGGGGATGGTCCCAGGGCGACACAGGTACCAGCCCCGGCCCTCACACCCACCTGCATGCTGCTGCAGCAGCTCCTTGCCAGCGCGGTTGGTGGGCCAGAGAGAAGACCTTGGCGAAGTCAAACTCCCCGTCGCCATCCCACCAGCCCTGGCTCTGGGCATGGGGCCTCAGCCCCACGTGCTCCGCAGTAATCTCCGTGCCGATGCTCAGCTGGTTGGAGAGATTGCGGGTCCCCTCTGCAACACGAAACGGGAAGAGCCCGGGCGGGCGCCCCCGCCTGCCCCAGGGAGACCCCTCTCCGGGCGCGAGAACAAGAGTCAAATTGCCGGGGCCTGTTCACGCTGGGCATCGTGGACAGGGGGCGGGGCCGTGGTGCGAACTGGGCTGAGACCTGCCAAACTCATCACACAGGCCACCAGAGGCAGCAGGCGGGAAGAAAGTTGGGAAGGGGTCAGCGAGAGGCTCCACCTTTATCTGGGCTGCCCATGTCCCCGATCTTCCCCCAGCAGGACTCGGCTTTCATCCGCCTCAGCGCAGACACATCCCTGCTGAGACTGGACTAACCGGCCGTGGTGCGAACTGGGCTGAGACCTGCCAAACTCATCACACAGGCCACCAGAGGCAGCAGGCGGGAAGAAAGTTGGGAAGGGGTCAGCGAGAGGCTCCACCTTTATCTGGGCTGCCCATGTCCCCGATCTTCCCCCAGCAGGACTCGGCTTTCATCCGCCTCAGCGCAGACACATCCCTGCTGAGACTGGACTAACCGCTCCCCCGAGGGGTCGGCTCCTCCTTGCAGCTGCCGCCCTGGCCGTAGCGCTCCAGCAAAGCAGTCCTGGCCTGCAGGGCCTCGTGGGCCGAGCGGCCTCTCTCCAAACCCAGCCTGCAGCACACAGAGCAGCGCTGGGCGGGGGAACCACGGAGG